GTTCTAAGCCAAAGCGGTGCAATATGTGCAAAGATTCAGTGTTTTGAGGAAAATGTGTAAACACAAAATATATATTTTGTAATCAGAAAACTACCTTTTTTGTTTGATTCAGTCATTTTGCAGTTTAATAATAATAATAATAATAATAATAATAATATGCACATAAATGGGCCATACACCACATCTCACTAAAATATGACCAACTTCAACAACGGCACTAAAATAAACAGCAGTATTCTGCAGTAAAATACACTAGAAGTACAAGTGTCCTTCTCACCTTGATCCTTGCGTGTTGGTTTCTTTCACCTCAGCATGTTTGATAGAGGTGGGGACCAAAGGTCGAATGTTTTTTTGTTCCTTCTAACCCTGCCCTATAGAAAGGCAACGAACAAGTGAAATTGTATTTACTCAAATCCAGTGAGACTGATTTTGACTAAAGTTCAATTTCTGACCTCTGATATAAATCAAGCGCATGGAAGAGTGAATGTTATAAATATATAATAAGTATTTTATTCTTGCTTTTATTGCTAATTGCCTGCACTCCTGGCAGACAAGAGCAATCAGTCATGATGATGAAGAGTAACTGAGCAGCAGTTTTTACATATCTATGCATCTATTCACAGAGATGAGACAGATTCAGATTCATTCCCAATTTAATTAAAAATCATTACAATCAAATCAATCAAAAACAACCCCTCAGGGAATATTGAGCAGCACATTCAAATCTACTGAACATTAATTAACACAGTGTAATCACAGAACCGTATACAGGCATATTTGTGTATCGCGTAATTTGTGTAAAGTTACCGCTAACTTTCAAAGTCCTTCGCTCGCTCCCGATCTGTGCCGTTTAAATGCGCTTACCGTGAATTTCAGCATATAGGTGCACTAAACTGTAAGTGTCTGCTGAGTTGACCACGGATATCTGAGTGTCTGCTGACTTTGATCAGCAGTTTCAAGCTCCCTATTGACCCCTCCAGTCATCCCCTTCATCTTCTGAGCCTTGTCACACAAAGACATGTGTCTTCATTACTCTTGCCTTATCTCTGAGAATCTTCACATCTAAACATTCTCTGGTTAAACTGCACCCCCCCATTGAGTCACTCCCTCAATGAGAGGAATGCTTTTGAAGTGTTCATCTGTGAGATTTCAACATACAAACAGAGCAGGTTGATGACTGATCGACTGTGGATTCTCAAACAAATATGCAGGTAGCACAAACTTTCCTTCCTTAGGAGCGAATTATCATTCTAACCATGATTTTGGTGTACTTAGTTTTCCAGGTGTTTTTTTTTTATACCTCGTCATGTTTTGTTGGACTTTTTATTTCATGAATCAGTCGACCTCCGTTTAGGATCTTCTACATACTACATGGTTAGTGCTGGTTATCGGTACCTTTAGGTATTAACTGAAATAATCCAGGACCAAGTAATATTGAAACTTCTCCAGTCAAACAACAGTCAAACAACATTACAGTCATTTAGCAGACATTTTTATCCAAAGTGACTTACAATTCAGATTCTATCACATTCTACACCGTAGGCACAGCTACGGGAGCAATTTTCGGGTTTTGCTCAACCAATCACCACAAGCGTTCTTCGATTTAAAGCAAAGTGTAATTCACAATTTTAAAACCGCATATTATTACATACACAGCACATTTGTACACCACATTGAAAAGCAGGAGGCTGAATTTCTCTACATGCCAAACACAAAATAGAAAGATTTGATTACTTCTCAAATACTCCTAAGGTGTACTCTCTCTTTCACTGCATCTCAGATCATTTCTTGATATTAAAAGTGAATCTTTTAAACCAGGTGTCACGCCCAACTCTTCAAATACAGACGCTTGGTCAGTGCCCCTCACCGTCTGATACCGATGCACCGCGATTTCGACAAACACCAACCAGAGAAATAAAGTAGTCTTTAATAATGAAAGGTCATGTTTGATACTTAAGATCTTCTCTAAAATCTTCCTAAACTCAAACAGACACATTTCGTGTAAACTTTTAGAAGTTTCATTTTTCAGCCTTAACGTTAGTTACCGCGCTGCAGGTCTTGCTCTATCTCTCTCTCTCTCACACATCAATTTTACTTTAAAGTCAACACTTACACATAATAGTTGTTGAATTAACCTGGTAGTCGATCGGTAATCAATGTTGTTGTTTGTGAGCTTCCGGGTCAGGGTCATGTGATAGGGGAGTGACAAATCAGGGAAGGACACGTCATGACTGCTCAGAACCAATCAAGTAGCGTACGCGGGTGTGGGCGTCGTCGTTTCTAAACTTATCCGTTTTCGGGAGCGTTTTCAAACTCCTCTGTTGTCGGTGCTCGAAAACACCGGCGTAGTGTGGACGCTCATTGTAAACATAGAAAAATATATGCGTTTCCAAATGGAAACAGAGTAGTGTGGACATGACCTAAGTGGTTTTATTTCCTGAACCCAACTTCCTGTGAAGACAGAAGTTAATTTTGAAAAAACACTATTGTAGCGTGAGCGGCTCCTGCCCCGTTTCTAGGCGGGGAAGTCTTTCGCACCTAACACGATGGTTACTCCGTCGGCTGTCCCACCTGCGAGGAAATACGTCCCTCTTGGAGATGTCGGAACAATACCTTCGGCCTTTTATCTCACCCCGTAGCTCAATCGTTAGGATTTCGGAATTAATTGTCTTCTTGAAAGTCTTTTACAGCTATATGCCCTAGGTGCTCTCAATAGGATGTAACCCTAACACCCAGTATGTAATAGTTATGTACATCGTCTATACTTTACTATTGCCTATTGTGAACATTCTCACCATTTTATGACTAACACTGCCAAGTCTTCACCCAGGGAACTTACCTTAAGCTCCTCTGCATGTTTCAGTCGTCACATCTTATCGCACCGTTAACGGACAGGGGAAGAGGGGTACATTGTTTTAAAGAACCAGAATACTTTGATTTGCTTCAGACACTTACAAAATGTAAGGCTGTGTTTTTATTTAAGTTTTTCACACAACAATCACATTAAACAATTTCAATTAAATGAAACAGTCACTGTGCTACAAGAACTAATTTTAACACTTTTAACAAAAGGGTTACAGGTTAGAATAGCAATACTTTTATGCTTTCATACGATCTTTCTACACTATGCGTGTAACGATGGGGAAATTGCCACACCATTCCTGCCACGTCCAAAACTGACGCTGGAGGGGTACGTAGAGCGTCATAGTTTAAAACCAAGCGTCTGTATTTGACAGAGTTGGGAGTGAGAACGTGTTGATCGTTAATCAGGGTCTGTACTCAGACCCTCAGGGAAATCTTGCCCTTGTCTAGAACCTGAGCTACACCCTGCAGCACTGGAGGAACGCCATTTTTCAACAGAACAACAGCAATGGTAACAGTTCCTGCAAACATGAGCAGCCAGGGTGAAAAGAGCACAGAAGGACGGCTCTCCGGTTCTGGTACCACCCTGGTTCTGAACGGCTGAGCCACCCGTTCCCACTGAGTGAGGATGGCCTGGCGGGCTCCGGCCCACTGTCCAGGCCCCGTGAGACGATACTGATAAGGCGTGCAGGGACCAAAGAAGACCCTGAACCAGAGCACAGGATCTCTCAGTAGTAGTCTCAGGAAGTTAGGTCGCACTCCGACCTGTGATTGGAAGTCTGTCATGAAGATTGTGTCTCACAAATACAGTCCAAATGGTAACACAATTTTATATAGATCTGAACTGAACTGACCTCCTCAGCCATGAAATCCAGGTACGGGATGTATTCTACCTGGAGAGATGCCTTTCGTGGGCAAGGATAGCTGAGGAAAACATGTAGAGTTTTTGAAAAGTCAAACTCTACTTTCTACAAAAACCAGCCTGAATGATGGCAGCATGGAATGGACATCGGTGTGAAGATGATGTCTACCATTTCATGTTTCTCTTCCTCTCACACTCGATGACCTCCAGCATTCTGTCTTTGGGTGGCAGACGGCTCAAACCTTTAGAGATAAAACACAACAAACTGACACATTTTGCTTCTTATGCACTGAGAGTTTGTGTAAATTTAAAGCTGTTTACCGGCAAAGACCTTCACAGCCCAGCGTGCCTGCATTTCTACCGTGGGTATGATTGGTCCATTTGTCTGGAAAACACCCAAGACGGCCAGTGTGGGTTGTGATAGAGAAGGAGGAAACAGTGTCCTGAAATTTCAAAAAGCCTGCGTTGATCCTTCAAAATTATGATATCAGATTCCAATACACAACATAAGTAAGACCTAAAAATAATGCGTCACTCAGAATAGGCAAAATGGCCCAGTGACGGCAGCGTCGGCACCCGGAATCGGGCCAGTGTATTCGACCCGATTCTGGGGCGTCATTCATGCCGAGTCGGCAACCGGACTGGCTCGACGTGTTTCTTCCGGCGTGCCGAGCTCATGCCGGATCTGGGCCAGGTCATTTTGGCTACTTGGGTAGTTATTATTGGGTTAGGGTTCATTTTGGCTTCATTAAAAAATGTATAAAATGTTATTTTAAAATGTAATGCAATTTTGTATTGATCAAAATACTGAATTTATATGTGTATTTGTTAAAGTGTATTCAAAAAGGCATTAAAAAAAATATTAAGAGAATAGTTTTGGGGAAAAGGTTCTTTTAATAGAGTTGGATGAGAAGATTGCTGCCGCTCTGTCTTCTCATCCAACTCAAGTATGTGACCTTTACATCCTCAGTAAATCAGTTTTTTATTGCGTAATATAGTTTCAATTCTAACTTCTTAACAAAATTAAAATCAGTAATAGATTTACAAAACTCCGTCCACCGTTTACTCACTTGTACAATGTTAGCACTTTGTGAGGCCCCTCAGATAGAGATGAAGGCAGGAATGGAAAGTTTCCATTATAACCTGTACAGAAGACCACAGCTTCAATGTTCTCCTCCACAGTGCCATCTTCAAACACAACTCCAGAGTCCGTGAATCGTTTCACATTTGGTTTCATCACTACCGCCCCCTGAAGGATTCGACCAGGAAGGTCATCATTGATCAAAGGTCTCTGCTCCAAAACTCTGACAGAGAAAGGAAATGATTGGAGTCAATACAAAGATTGGAACGAAATACAAACACATTTTCTCTTATTTTTGTTCCTATCCTAAATTAGTTTTTACTTTGTTAATCTGATTTCTGGGAGTCACCAACTTTTTTTTTTTTTTTTGCTCTTCTTTTAGGTGAGAGAACATTTTACCAGTGGGAGAGCACTCTTACCAAGATTACAAAAATACGCATCTTTTTTTTCACAGTCCATAAATTACGTGTCCAAAGCATGAGTTTAATATGTTAAATATGACAAACATAATGAAATGCATGAAATTATTTTTACCATTATCTCTGCCAGGAGGAATGGTGGTGTGTGTGCGTGTCTCCGTGAGTGAGTGTGCACCTCTGTGTCTGTCCACAGCTATTCTCTAGGACCTCTTGTGGTTGCGGTTACTCACACTTTCGCAAAACACCTTTTATTGCCCGCTTTATATTGCCATTGACTGCCTGCTGACTTCAGACACAATTGTTTTATATGTTTTAATTTGATTAAATTTGTGGGCTGAAATCGGTCCATCTATCGAGCCATCTGCTAAAATTCATTGTGCAAGTGCATTTCTTGGTGGCATCTCCCCAAATCATGTGCCACTATATTTGCACACGGCACAATACCTGCCCTTATATAGTGTTTTGGGGGCTTTAGCTTTGCTAATAATAAACAAGGGGGATTCAGCATCTGGAGTTGACTTCTCTCAACAGAACATTAAGGGGAAATCTATAGAGGAATTTGCTGCACGAGGCCCATTATGTGACGTTCACTTTTGTATTAACTGTCTGCTCTGGGATCCCGAGGCAGAAAGGGACAAAGGTAAAAAAAATGTGTCACCTGTGTTTGGGCTTCAGGCCGTACAGTCTGTGGTCACATTTGCGGTTGAATCCTCTCTCTACTGCCCAGTTGACCAGAGACCTGGGAAGAATCAGCATGAGGATGTTGTTGAGTCTGGTGATAGCATTCATGTCCAAGGGAAGACCATTACTTGACATCCTGCCCATCACCCAGGACCCCCGCCGTGTGCTGAGAAATGTCTGCCAGAGAGAGTAAAAAGAAGGGATGTAAATAGATGTACTATATTCTCTTTGTGCAATACGAGCTGTATAATACACAGTGGGCCTCATGCAGCAACATTATCTTACATTTTCTCTTGATTTTCTTCGAAGAGAAAAAGAGAAGTCAACTCCGGATGCACAAAACGTTGTTAGCCATCCAAATCTGCTCTCAAAGTTCAGCTGAATGATGAATCCCACTTTATCACACATTTGAGGCGTGTGGCTGATTATTATTAGCTTCGGTAAAAAGATTGAATTAGCCCTCTAGATACTATATAAGGGCAGGTGTTGTTGCCCAAGAATTGGAGAGATGCCACCAAAAAAAAAGGCTGGAAGCAGAAGAACTTCAGTAGTAGAGAAATTGAGGCTCTGTTAAATAAACTTAAATTAAACATGTGATCTCCAGAGCGCCAGAACTGGCATTACAGGAAAATAAAAAATCTTTCTTAAGTGTGATTTATGCTTGCCGCATCCCCGAGGGTTGCGGCACTTTGAGAATTTAATTTTTGGCGTGAGGAGAAAACCACACGAGTATAAAAGATCCAAACGTTTCCTGGTCACGATTCTATATCAGCTAATGTAATGTAATCACCAAGGGTTTACCTTCTCTGCAGATCGACTGATCTCCACTGCAATATCTCCTCCAGAATTGCCAATGCCGACCACCACCACCCTCTCTCCTCTGCGGGTATCTGTGTTTCTATATTCCAAGCTGTGAAGACACCTTCCAGAAAACGTCTCGTATCCTGGAGAGATGCAGATGTTGCAACGGATCAAAGAAATTGCAAGATGTCCTCGCAAGACTGTGCAGGTGTCAAGTAAATCGACCCACTTTCCTCACTAGAAAAGTGTTATCCATTAGTTTACTGACCTTGAAAGTCTGACAGGGGTAAGGCTGGTTGGGTGTACTGGCCTATGCACACCATGACGGCATCAAACACGTGTCTCTCCTCTCCATCCCCGTTGTTGGTCACTATGGCCCACTGACCGGACTCAGAGAAATCTGGCCTCTGTGTAACACTCCTCACTGTGGTCTGAAGCACACAAGTTCAAACTAAACGCATGCATTAAAATTTGACTTTACACAATACGTTGTAAAAACCTGTGGCTTGACAACCTGGAAACGAATGTATCTGAGCAGGTCAAAGTGATCAGCGTAGAGCCTGAAGTACTGCAGCAGCTGGGAGTTGTGCATGTAGTTGGGATAGTCGGCAGGCATGGGAAAATCGCTGAAGCACGTCATCTCTTTGGAGGTGTTGGTCACCAAGGAGCGATAGATGCTGGATCGCTCTGGATCAGGCAACTCCTGAAGGAAAACCAGGCATAGAAAAAAATTAAATAAAATCACTTGGATATGGATTTTTCAGATTTTAATCAATAGTCTTGATAATCACAAAAGCTACACAATCTTTGTTCATATGCCATAAATGCTAGACTTGTTCTAGATGTGGTGGAAAGCTCGTTGGCCATTCATCATCGTGAGACGAATCCTGAACTGGCAACAGAGTGAATATGTGGGATACTCGTTTTAAACTGTGGCCTCACTCACCTTAAATTTCCATAGGCCGCCAATGTCATCACTGCTTTCAAAGCAGACAGGCTCCAGTCCTTCGTCAACACATGTTTTGATACAAGTCAGACCAGAATTACCTGCTCCAATAACTGCCACACGTCGAACCATTGCTGAGCACTGAGAAACAAGACTAATAGTAATCAGTCAAAATGTGTCAACCGAGCTACACCCGCCAACCGCTTCACTGTGCAGAAGGAAACGTGCATCTATACTGGATACGGCTAGCTACCCTAGCATCACTGAGCTAGCAAACGTTATAACTCAGCCGAGGATGACGCCACTAATGTTTACATCTCACACACTGTCAGTGTCAGAATCAGAAACGGTTTTATTGCCAAGTACGTTACACATACAAGGAATTTGGCTTGGTGATTAATGCATGACAATAAACAATAGTAATAGTAACAGACATCATTTACAAATAGAAAAAAGATACAAATTTACAATATGATAAACAAACAAATTAAGGGGAAAAGGGGAAAGAACGCAGCCTTGAGGGGAACCGGTGCTGATGGTCCGAGAGTCAGACACGTGTTTCCCCAGCTTCACATGCTGCTTCCTGTCAGACAGGAAGTCTGTGATCCACTTGCAGGGGGAGTCGGGGAACGGGCAGCTGAGAGAGCTTGTCCTGCAGCAGAGACGGGATGATGGTGTTGAAGGCAGAGCTGAAGTCCACAAACAGGATTCATGGCGTAGGTTCCTGGGGAGTCCAGATCTTTCCACAGAGCCAAGTCTCGGTGAAGCACAAAACGGAGGATGAAGAAAAGTCTCTGAAAAAAAGGGGCGCTGTATCCCGTTCTAATTATACATTTGAGCTAAATACTAAGATCAGCACGCTACCAATGAAACCAAAAATGCTAATGTTTGCTAATAAGCACTAAACACGCATATAAGTGTGAGTCCAGCCTGCAGCAGCATATACGTGTGAGTCCAGCCTGCAGCAGCATATACGTGTGAGTCCAGCCTGCAGCAGCATATACGTGTGAGACTACCTTTATGCTCTTTTAACACAACAAAACTTTAGAAGAACAGGTAACCGTTATTAAAGAACAGCAATGTCAAGCACATCACATCATTAAGTAGTTCAAAACACTTGGAAAAGTTTGAGGAATTTGATCAGATTAAATTTACAGAATGTTTATTGCGCAATTCAAGAGAGACATTTTTGGCATTGCTGAACACTGCCGGAACAAAAAGTAGGTCTCTTTTATTGTTGAAGTCTAACAGATTGCTCTCACCTTCTCCAGTGCACCGATTTCAAGTCTTGGGCAGCTCCGATCAAATGCCAAACAGCATCTAAATTCACATGAACTGAGCTGTTGTTAATAGTCAGTTGAACCGGGTTGCAGGGGGAAGGGAGGAGCTATAACTTAATGCCATATACGTACCTTTTACCTGGAAATGTTTTGTGAGGGAAAATGTTATTTATTTTCATGAGCTGTTTACTCTTTCACGGGTTTGATGTGCATGGCAATGGTTAACTTTTCCCCTCAAAGCACATATTTTGACTTTTCACTATCACAGTCAGAACTGGCCGGTTTGGGTCCAAACGCAGGAAAGACACTGATAAGAGGCAGCAAGTGTTCAATGATTTCAGGGCAAACAACTAACTCAGACTGAGGCAACTCTAAAAAGAAAGAACAAACCAGAACACAAAACACTGGGAAACTAACTCTGTAACAGGCTGGACTTTCTAAAACAAAGAGAGGGGAGCACTAAGACTATATACACAAGGGACTAATGACCTAATGAGGGAAAACACACAAAGACAGGAAGTGAACCAAACCAAAAATAATCCCAGACCATGAAAGTCATAGGAGGAAAAGCACAGATGTAAATTATTAATATTGATGGCTGAACTCCAATGAGCCCCATAAACCACGGAGATACAGCAAGGAAGCAGTGTGACTTTTGTGATCAGCTTTCCATAGGTTTACAACAAGTTTACACACATTAGTCAACTATAACTGACCGCACGTTCAAATGTTAGACGGACTTAATGGCGGACTGATATGTAGATAAATCCACGTTCTCTGATAAGTAACGTGTCAGAACTGCAGGTTCTGAAAAGTGTGATGGTAAATTTCCACTGTGTATCTTCTCCTGTTTTATTAGCTGACCACTCAGTGTTTTGGCCCTTTTGTATCAACAAAGATAATCAATGTCAGACATAGTCAGTGAGGGTCCTCTCAGGTTGAGTAATATTGGATGTGTGTCTTAATCAGGGGCATGAAACTGTCAACTTAGATAGGGGGCTGAATGGGGATGCAATCAGTGGACCAGTGATGAACCATTCAATGGTCCATCGCTGAATGATCACTGTTGTCCAGATGTCCTAGTGTTGAACTCCTGCTGTCCCGCCATGTGCTTAAGGCCAAGTCGTACACAACCAACACTCTGGGTGCCTTCCTCCTTCAGACCGCTCTTGTGATTGGTGGAAAGTGTAGTGGAAGATTTCTATGATTAATCGGGAGAAGGGTGGAGGTCTTCAATCTAGATCAATAAACAGACTCTTGAAAGAATCAGAGTTGTCGGTCTTTTATTGCTTGCAAGCAAGAGAGCAGTCCCACAGCACTCTCAAAGTGCAACATTCAACATCATGTATGCATACAAAAGGTTCACGCCTTTACAACTTCAGATAATGTGTCAAAAGGGGAGTATGGGTATTTCAGACACAGGCTGTCTGTTTCTGCTCATTAGATATTTCTGGCAGGATATTCAGTTCTGGAGTCGAGGTCTCTCTGTGTCTTTGTCTTACCAACAAAGACACAGTGTCTCTTCACTTCTCACCTTTGTGGGAAAAGTTAGAGGGACACCTGGATACAAAACGAATTCAAATCATCTGCAGAACTGCTGTTCTGTGTCTGCCTGTGTTCCTCACATTCAGTTGTACATTCTTTAAAACTTCACATGATACGATAACATATTTTCCCATTACAAAAGGCAATCACTTTTCTTGTTGACTCAGGAGCGACTCACTCAGTAGTTACAGAAAAGGATCTTCCAAATCCAAATCTTAGCGGTCAATATGTTTATTCTCTGGGAGCTTCAGGACTAACACTCAAAGAACGATTTACTGTCCCTATGACATGTGTTCAATGAAGCATGCATTTTTGTCTTCGCAATGTTGTCCTGTAAATCTGCTGGGGAGATATCTTATGTTGAGCCTAGATATTAGCCCGATATCTACACCAGATGGCCTTAAAGTTTTTCGCAATCCAACAAACTATTTGTCAATGATACAGTACAGTCCAAATGCCCCTCTGTATGTGTGTCAGTGGCAAATTCCTCTCCTCGTTGCAGCACACCTGATAAACAAGGCCCATGATGTCACGTCTGCGCATGTGAACTTTATGTCTCCAGAACACTTACATTGCACCGCACATGTTTTTACAGGCCCTGACTTTGATTATGAAAACAGTGCCTGAATGATCCTCTCCAGTGTTCTACTCTGTTTTGGTCTACAAAAATATGTGCTGTTTCTGTGACATTGACCCCTGCACAACAGCGTTTGTTCCTGTTTGATAATACCTACCCACACATCTCCCTGTCCAAATCAGCAAATGACCAGTGGGAAAACTTGGGTCCCTTTGTGCAAACATGACTGCAAAAAGAAGTCTGATTGTATGGAAGTCTCTGAGAAAATGACCCCACTAAATGAATCTGCTCACTTCATAATGGCAATGGCCATAATCCAAGATGGCGACTGCCAAAATGCCAAACTTGCGGCTTCAAAATGGCAGTCCACAAACCACCCAACGTCACTACAACGTCCATTTCTTAAACACAGTCCATGGTCAGAGAGCAGTGGTGTTACACAGTGCCAGATGTATAACAGAACCAGGGTTCCTGGTATCGTGCATGCTGGCTCACTGTCAGGCTCACTGGAACACTTTAAATCAGAGCCATAGTGTCATTAGTGACACCATGCTTTTCCTGTTTAGCAGCTGCCGTCTGCAGCATTCTCCCTCAATACTGGACCAGTTTCAATTGTTTTGTCCTCATTAGTTACTTTAACACAAAACCATGGGGAAATAGGGGTCCAGGTTGAAAAATACAGAAGTTACACTTTAAGACAGCTCTCACACAGTTATTTTATTATTTTTTTACTCCATATGTCTAACATTATATTATTATATTTCAATGTAGCTCAAGCGCAAGTTCAGACAGGAAGACACTCACTAGTAATCTCTGTCTCTCCTCTCCTTGTAATTACTCTATCAGCTGATTAGATTTACATTTATAAGGAAATGTTAAGGTATTCATGAAACTAAACATATAGCTACATTAAGACCTCTAGCATTACTCAGCAGCTCAGACAGTGACCCATAATCACATCCTAAACAGGAAGATTTCTAAAGGAATCTAGAAACAGCACATTCAATATTTGATTTGCAAGATTCACATCGTCTGATCATTGCAGTACGTTCAGACAATTTGTGGAAAGAGGTTGGACAGCAGGGTGGGGATGGTGGTCGGGTTGCGCACATGGACGTAGTAGACGGCAGCTCCTCCAGCCACGAGGGTCAGGCTCAGCTTAATCAGGCGACCAGCGACGGAGGCCTCTTCTGCCTCCAGCTGGAAAAGACGGGATGAAAAAAGGTTATGTTGATGTTTGACTCAGGGTTGTGACTCAGGGACATTACACAGTTATTTAAGTTCACATAAGGCTCAGAATGTTGAAGAAACATTTCCAACCTTTCTTGTTTTTAAGGGCTGGAACATGCGGTCAAACTGGGTAAAGATTGCTCTGCGGGCTCCCTCCCATTTCCCTGGTCCCCTCAAGCGGTACTGGTAGGCTGTGACGGGTCCCCACAGAATCCTCTTAAACAGCAGGTAGTCTGTGAAGAAGAGCCAGAGGAGACTTGGCCGCACCCCAATCTCTCCTGCTATGTCATCCATGTAGGAAACAAAGTCCACGTGCAGCGGCGTCAGCTTCGACACATTGTAGCTGTGGATGCATCCGGAATTTACAAGTTGCTTAAACAGGTTCAAAGTACAACAATTTGTGATGTGGAAGCAGCCGCTCATAGCAATACTATCAATCTGCCGCCTGCAAGACTTACTTCAAGTTACGCCCTCTGTTTCAAGCTGTGCCCCTCTCCTGCAGTCCGCAGACAGGCAACATTCACTCATAATGACCAATTATCCCCCCCCCCCCACTCTGCAGCTCAAAGGAGCCTTTTAATGTCTTTCGGGCTACTTTTTGTTTTACCCACAGCTCAGCTCTCATCAACTTTATTTGATTAACTCCCTGTATGCTGTGTCATTTACTCCATAATATAAAATAGAAGAAGGGACATTGGGGACAATGTTGTTTGCAATAAGTTGTCAGGCAAAGGAATACGGGAAGTTTTACTTGTTCTCCATGTCCTTGGTGTCCTTGTCAACAGCTTTTATCATGGCCCGGTTTGAAGGCAGCTTTTTATATCCTGAAAAGCAAAAGACAGACTGAGGTAAAGACTGCTTGGAAAGACTAGTGGCAGCTGACAAACGACACGCCGCCTCACCTTTGAAGACACGTGCAACCCAGCGAGCCTGCATCTCAGCCTGCACCATGATGGCTCCGAAGGTATGGATGAAACCCACGACAGCCAGCGTGGGATGCTCCTGGTTGGGAGGGAAGATGTGCTTGTACAGACCCACACGGTGCCCAGACTTGTACACAGCACTGCTCGGCATGTAAGGAAAATCGTAGTTGTAACCTGTGGCGAACACGATTCTATTCACCTGTAATGAGGAAAGGATGAGTTGGAGATATAAGATAAAATTGTGCTGGGCATAAAAAGAAAAGACAGTATTGTTGGAAACAAAGTTCTCTAACATTTTCCACAGCGCTGCCATCCTCAAACACCACGGTGGAGCCACGGATCTCCTTCACGTTTGGTTTGAGGATGACCGACCCGGACAGAATCTTAAAAGGCAGATCATCGTTGACCACTGGGATCTGACTGAAGAATCTGAGGGGGCAGCAGAAGACAGAAGAATGGAGAACAAGGTATATACGGTCAAATAAGTATTGTACATCCACAGATTCAACACATTTCTTCATTATGCAAGTTGTTTATTGCCTGCAACAATGTGAGGAAGTTTATGCAGAGTAGTTATTTGTGTGGTCCCTACAGCACCTACCTGTGTTTGGGTTTGAGGGCATACATGGTGTGGTCATACATGGCGTTGAGTTTCTTCTCGCAGAGCCAGTTAAGGAAGCTGATAGGCAACAGCTGGAAGAGGATGTGGACAAAGCGCGTGCTGTACTTCATGTCAACGGGTAGGCCATTGTCAGAAACCTGGCGGATGATCCAGGCACCACGACGAGTGCTCATATACACCTGCAGAACGAGAGCAACAGTCAGACATTAACATGCATGAATCATCTCAAAGAAGGAGAGAGAAAAGAGCAATAAAAAAAAAAAGACTCCCCAACCTGCTCTGCCACTCTGCTGCTCTCCACGGCGATGTCGCTTCCTGAGTTACCGATGCCGATGACCACCACTCTTTTCCCATGCATGTCCTCAGGCCCCTTGTAGTCCCAGCTGTGGGAGTATTTCCCTTCAAATGTATCTATCCCTGCAAAACAGCAGAATGATGGCTTCATAAGTTGTGTTTCTCTATTTTGTTGCTATGAGACGGACCGGGCTTTCAACTAATTCCAATGTAAACCCATCTGCGTTCTTAATAGACACTCAGAACAATGGACATGGTTTTAAGAGCGAGAAAGTGTGGGAGGGACTGGTGGTGGATGGGTCAAACAAACACAGGACTTTTAATTAGGGCACCGGTGTGCGTGTCCAGTGTGAAACCAAAAGTTATTGTTACTGACACGTGATGCTATATCATATTTTTCACCTGAAAACCAACGTTTGATGGAATCAGGTTAAAATTTTGACATCTGAGTGCAAAGTACATTGTGTTATAAATATTAATAGCATGCCCTCTAGTGGTTGAAATTCAGCTAATGCAAATACATTTTGCTGTTGGCTGATCTGGAGGCATACGATTTTTGTCACCAACGAACTCTTCCAATAAAACCAACGTGGAGTAAAACTGGAGTAAAACCGTTAGCATACACAAGGGCTTCTCAAATTCAAACAAAGAGTTTATACTGTATTTTGTTACTATAACAGACCCTCAACAGCACTTAGCTACCTAACCATGATGGCGCTAGCGATGAGCATAAGCTAATTGAAAGGGTAACTGCCATCATGGACGTAAGTTAAAACAGTAAAGTCCGGCTGAATGTTAAAGTACACTAGACCAAGCCCAGCAGTTCATGTGGGGCTTTTTATGTTCTGTAACTGGAGCATAAAAGCATGCTAGGATTAGCAAGCTAGCAAGCTAACTAGCCAAGACCTAAATGAGTAAATTTGAACAACTTAATCCTTCATCCACACACTCTTGTCATAGGAAGGTAAGCACGTTGACATCGCCAGATGAGTAAGAACTTGGTCCAGGTCATTTTGTAAACAGTGTAGCATGAAAGCATGGTGGAATCAGCTAGCTAGCCTGTCCCAGCTGCAACTTCAAGTTACACCCCATTAATGTTACACCCCTCTCTTGAAGTACACTGACACACCCAACTCATTGCACTTGGATCAATTGGGTGGGTGTGCTTGTAGAGAGAGCCGGCCTTCCAACAACCTGTTAGGCGAAGAATGGCTCCATTTCAGATAAAAACATTAATTTAATTATGGGGCTATTTGCCATATAGAATGCCCTCAAAAAGGCAAACCCATCTCCGTCTTGGTTTTTATTTTTGGGGGTAAATTAGTCAGTTGCAATCCATAACAATATGTTTTGCTTATTATACATAAACTATACAAATTACGAATCAACTACAAAAAAATTAAATTAAACTATTTATTAATTTTCTTTGGTATTTTTGTTGTTGTATAGTCTGCAGATCAGACTGTGGTTGTACTGGGGATGTATAACTGTGTGAATGTGATCAGAGCATTCCTGAAAGCGAGAGCACCACCACCGAGTAAATAAAGGTGCCAACAGCAAGAAACAACATGATCCTCCAATGATGTACAACCTGTCTTTACCTGGGAAGTCTTTGAGCGGCAGGTTAGGGTAGGTGTAGTGACCAGAGCAGCAGATAACCGCATCAAAGACATGCCTCTCCTGCTCTCCGTCTCTACTCTGGGTCACCACTTCCCACTGACCACTGCGAGGAAAGTCCGGTCTTTGTTTAATATTCTGCACGGAGGTCTGAAATATACATAAAAAACAAACGCAGATTAGTTTGTGAAAAAATATTGGAATGAACCGCATACTCCTCTCTGCATCTTTTGCATCTTGTTACCTGGAAGCGAATGTGTTGCAGCAGTTTAAAGTGTTCTGCATACATCCTGAAGTATTGCATGATTTTGGAGTGGCGCATGTAGTTGGGGTAATCTGCAGGGATGGGGAAATCACTGTAGGACATCATCTCCTTGGAGATGTTGATGGTGAGGGAACGGTAGATGCTGGCCCTGTCTGGCTCCGACACTTCCTGCAGAAAAAGGCGTTAAAAAGGCAGAAAAACATTTTATATATGGCAGCAATTTAATTAATTTTTTCTCACCCCGTTTGACTTGACTTGCTTGGGGGCATGAACACAAACACGTTGAGAGGAATCTTTTTTTTTTTTCCAGTATCAACTTACCTTGAACCTCCACAGTCCACCCAAGTCATCGCTGCTTTCAAAGCAGGTTGGCAGCATGCCCTCATCCAGACAGGCCTTCATGCTGGACAGACCACAGGGGCCTGCCCCGATCACCGCCACTCTGTGCACCATGATGGAGCTGCACGAAGGAAAGGGACAAATACACATATATATATATATATATATATATAATATAATATAATTTTATATATTTTTTTTTTTACTTGTCGCTATCGTCAGATCCAAATGCGTGACTTTCAGTCGCACCCACTGTCACATGAAACATGCTGCAGCTGTGTAGACAACTCATTTAATCGTGTGTTTTCGTGCTTGCAGTAGTAAGGCTCAATCTCATTCCCAGCACATTTAAAATACTCCAGTGAGTCTTTCAACAACAGTTGAACAAAGAAAGTAGATCAGATTATATTATAGAATTGCTTACGGCATAAAGCGATATTACTGAGCCCTTATGCACAGACTTATCGAGCCCTGATCTCTGGTTCTGTCATAAACCTTTCTCAGTTCCCAGAGGTAGAAAGAAGAGCAGATCTTACACTTCGTTGAGAGCAATGAGACTTTAAAACAACTTTCTTTGGGCTGTAATGTTCTAAGCCAAAGCGGTGCAATATGTGCAAAGATTCAGTGTTTTGATTGTATCAGAGGAAAATGTGTAAACACAAAATATATATTTTGTAATCAGAAAACTACCTTTTTTGTTTGATTCAGTCATTTTGCAGTTTAATAATAATAATAATAATAATAATATGCACATAAATGGGCCATACACCACATCTCACTAAAATATGACCAACTTCAACAACGGCACTAAAATAAATAGCAGTATTCTGCAGTAAAATACACTAGAAGTACAAGTGTCCTTCTCACCTTGATCCTTGCGTGTTGGTTTCTTGTGAAAATCAAATGACGAGCACCACCTCAGCACCACCTCAGCATGTTTGATAGAGGCGGGGACCAAAGGTCGAATGTTTTTTGTTCCTTCTAACCCTGCCCTATAACAAGTCGACAAACAAGTGAAATTGTATTTCTGACTGTTATAAATCAACCGCATGGAAGAGTGAATGTTATAAATATATAATAAGTATTTTATTCTTGCTTTTATTGCTAATTGCCTGCACTCCTGGCAGACAAGAGCAATCAGTCATGATGATGAAGAGTAACTGAGCAGCAGTTATTACATATCTATGCATCTATTCACACAGATGAGACAGATTCAGATTCGTTCCCAATTTAATTAAAAATCATTACAATCAAATCAATCAAAAACAACCCCTCAGGGAATATTGAGCAGCACATTCAAATCTACTGAACATTAATTAACACAGTGTAATCACAGAACCGTATACAGGCATATTTACATACATGAAGAATAAGGTCTATACAGGAAACACACAATATCAGTTATAGCATACAGCAGGCAAAACAGATCGCAGTGAAATATATTGCAGCTGGCTTCATGTTGGACAATGTGCACGAACAGATGTGACGTTTGCTGACAACCTTTGAGAGCTGAATGAGGTGAAGTGAATAGGTGGCATTTGGAATGTGCTGAAGCTTTTTTTTTTAGGATTGTTCTGATGGTGCAGCTGAAGACAGGAAAGTGGGAGAGAGAAGAGAAGCAGCAGTGGGTCAGACTCAGACCGAGGACTGAGCCTCGGCACACGTGGCGTCTGCTCGACCAGATGAGCTCCATGTGTAAAATCTATTCTGTAAACAAATCAGTGTCAGCATGGAACAACAACAAAATCAATCAATCAAATTGGTCACAAGTTCACTGTCCAGCATATTAAGATTTCAACAGAAGGGTAATGGAAAAAGTGGAACCAACAGATCATGTATGTCAGTCATACTATCACCAGCACTGGGATTATTTGTCAATTATTGCAGAGAGACAGAAACACCAGGGAACAGGCTGTTAAATTACGTTGGTTCTTAAAAAAAATGGTTCAACAATAACCAAAATACACACAGAAATCACACGTCCACATATCCCATCGTAGTCTTAATCAATAGACACATAACAGACAAACATAAACTAGGCTACACTTGCTCTGGTTTCTGGCGTGTTTACAGCGAGCGAGACGGAGTCAGCTGTTGAGCAACTCACTGAATAATCTGCGGACAGAGAGGTCGTGTCAACACCAACACAGCACATGATATTCTTTAAATTTTTAAATCTCTTTGCTACTACTTTTGCTACCTATCTGCCAACAATCACATAAACTAATCTTGTGATGTTGCGTTTGTAAATAAGTGCTGTGCTGACAAATGGCTTGTGTACGGGTCAGCAGCCTCCGTGGCAGCGCTATCGTCAAACACTCGTCCGTGTTACATCGTGACCGCTGTCATTCACTCTGCGGTCAGCGAGTCGGACTAACCTTTAACTATGTCTGAGGAACTGTATGTGCCCCAAACACACAATGAGCAGTAACTAACTGACCCACAGAGTCACATTTGTGTCTGAACATCAAGATGCAACGGGTCACTCCATCATCAAATATTAACTGTGGGAAGATCTGCAACACTTGGCTGTTAATTCCTTTAACACATTATTGCCTTGCTAAATCTTTAACTGAGAATTTTATGGAAAATGTCAAACATTATGTGAACAGTCAGGAGAAATATAGCCAGAGTGCCAAGTGATAGTTAAGAGTTGGTAGAGGAATGACGTGCGTAGTTACACATTCTGGTTTCATGTCTAACTTAATGAATAAATGTCTATGCGAGTCAGTGAGACTAGAATTATTACAGTGCGTGCAAAGACAGTGTGTTTTCACAGTGCAGAACTCTAGCACGCTGACAGCAAACCACCCAAATGGATCCACACACTCTTATTTTAAAGTGCCCCATATCCATTCTAACAAATGCTTATCAATGGATTCACAAGTGTTCATTTAAATTAACAATACATTTTAAAAAGTCTCAGTACATCCAAATCTGCTTGGATGTAGATTTAACCGGCGGGGCCATGATCCTCAGAGCAGGTGATCCAGTATGAACTTATGCATTTCAGGTATGTCCTCACCGGACCCTCCCCTGGTGGAGCTCAGATACACCTTGTTCCATATATATAAAAAATAAAAACGCATTTTGAAAAATGGTGGACAGCAAAGAAGTACGGAGGCCCTGAGAGGAAGGCGAGAATCAAATAATAATTCTGGTGATGGAAGGCTGATCTGAATAGTTTTCTGTCCCGTGTTTTATTTTGCCAGGATAATCTTACATTGCTGAAGAGTTTTGTCAGGTAAAGTCGGATGTTGTTGTTGTTGTAATACTCATTTCAGTCACAAGAGGCTAAAGTGCACCACTACCCTGTGTTCTAAATAGGACTAAACTAATTCCTGTTTTCTTACAGGTGAGTGTTAATGTCTCCGTGCACTCTAAACACAAGATACATCTATTGTGTATAATATTATGTCTTTTTTTGGCCATAAATGTATTTTAATCAGAGGTGCAGTTCAGCCTCTTGTGGCCGAAATGAGTATTACAACAACAAATACTGGAAAAGAATTATCCTGATTAAAAAAATGTCATGTTTTTGTTTTTAAGGAACTTAGAAAGATTATCCTGGCAGTTTAGATCAGACTTAAAATTCACAAGAATAATTGTTCTTACTTGCCTCTCAGGTGCTTCCGTAGCAGACCTAACCATGTAATGTAAACTTACAGGTGTAAAAAAAAAATAAGAAAAGGTGCTCTGTGTTGTAAAAGTATTCAGTATATCTAAAGCGTCCTGGACGGTCGCACAGACATCAGCTGACGCAGAACTGTGAGGAACCAGTTGGATCTTTTATACTCTGTGCAGGTTTCTCTTCGCGGAAAACCGACATTCTCAAAACTCCTCAAAGTTCTCCGCCGATCGCCGGATGTGGACAGACAGGCGGAAAACCAGCCGCACTCTTCTAACAACAAAAGCATTCAGCTTGCAGTTTAAATCATTTCCAGTGAATCGGGCCCGTAGGGGGAGTGAGGTGGTTGTTTCTATTGATTACAGACAGGCTAGTCATGAGGGCCAAAAGGCTTTTGTATTTAAAGCACAATGAGTAGGACTTTCCTTAAAAACAAAGTGTAGACTCGTGCAAAATGAATCCCTCTTAATCATTACTTATGACCTACAACAAGTGTGTGCTGGTCTCTCTGTTTCTTTTTTTTCTTTTCATTTTGCCGTGTTTGGGACATTTTCTGAGCTTCAAAACGTAGCGAGGAAGCTTTGAAAATGGAGGAGTCTGCAAAAATAGCGAGGTTAAACGCCAAGCGGACAAAGCTCGTTCCAAAAAACTCAACGTGCCTGTAAGTGTCAAATAACAGCAGAACAAAGCTGCATGTGATGGAGCTCTCTTCTCCAGTCTAAAGACAATTTCTCTGATGTATCCGTGTAAAAGACAAAAGGTGTGCAGGTGCTCTAACAATCAAGATTTAAACGGCCGTGTCTCGTCCTCCTTCGATGCTTAACATTAAGCCAACTGTCCCAGCAGCCCTTGCAGGGTTTGAGGCGAGATCCACAACATCTCTACAAGGTTATACTGGCAGTAGCCCATCCAGAACCCAAACATCACGTCAGTCACGTTGTGCCTGCCCAGCATCACTCGGCTTAGCCCCACCAGGCCGGCCCACAGCAGGACCAGGACCCTCAGCGGGGCGGCCAGCACCAGGTGAGCCAGCAGGAACCGCCCACACATGGCGGCGCGGGTCGCGTGGCCTGAAGGGAAGGAGTAGCGGTCCACGGAAAAGGTGGCAAACATGTCCATGCGGTTGTGTGATGGCCGACGGCGCCGCACCACTGCCTTCACAATGCCGACCAGGAGCAGGTCCAACAGGAGGCCTGGCGGGGATGAAGGGAGGAGATGTAGTCACATTAACGAGATGAGACACATTGAGATCCATCGACAATCGTAATCCAATCAAATCATGAGGTCAGTCAAGATTCATACTTCTAAATAACAGCTGTTATCTTTGTATCCTAATACAGCAGAATGTCACCCATTAGCTTAGTTTCTTGGATGGGATGATATACACAAATCAGAACCAAGCTTCAAAACGTCATTCGTTGTGAAGAAGAGCAGTTTATATCTGCAGCTTTTCTGCTTGCTTTAATCTTATGTTTTTTTTTTACTATGTCTCTTGTTGCATTATCCACTTTGCTGCTGTAATCCTGTAAATGTCCCCGCTGCGGGACTAATAAAGGATTATCTGAGCTTATCTTATATTTAAAAAGGCTGGCCTTTGATTCGACAGAGTCTTGAATAAAGAGAGATGTCTCTTTATGTTTTATTAGCAGTTGCTTTATGTCCTCCAGGTCTGCAGTGCTGAAATATTCATGCAACAGCCAGGTGGCATCGAGCCAATCGCTGCCGGGAGTCCAATGAAAGGATTTCATCAAAATGAATATGCAACGGTACATTGTATACATTATTGACAACAACTCAACTTTTAAATAACTGCTGCGGTTACAATGATGAGACTGTGCAGCTGGCTTGGACGTTTATCTGCAGCCTGCTATTAGTTGACTTCTTCTATTCAGACTCTTGTGACGAACACGTAACTGGTTCACATGCACAATTGCATGCCGTGCATGAGATGATGGGGAGACAGACTTGCCTCTACCTGCCTCATAATTACCGATCTGACACTTCAATTATCTTACCTAAAAATAAAACATGAATTCACCCACGCACAGGAGGAGCACAAATCAAAAGTCCATATCGGTTCACATCATTGTGAGCTTGTGTTACTGGAAAAACAACCTCTGGAAATAGGCAGACACACAAATCCTCTTCCTGTAACAAGAGAATCACTTGTGCACAGTGGGGGGTTTTGGCATGCAGCATGCGTTTTAATTCCTTATAGATGTATATCCTTTACTGGCTGTTAACTGACACAATCCAACAGAAAGCTGCATTACTGTCACAAACCAACTTACAGCCCAAAAACAAAACTCTGCTATGTCTCTGATTAAACGCAGACCAACGTGAGCTTCAATGCAAGTCCTTTAGAGTCAAAACCTGTCTCTCAACTCACAACAAGACGGCAGTATGCGTCATGTGATTTGCCGTTGAGTATAAAGACGTTAGTAGTACTTTTTTAAATAACCATTATGTTGAAAAATCACATATGATCAGTATCTGTATCATTCAAATTGTAACAAAAAGTATAGGTATCGAATAGAGTTTAAAAAACATTGGTATTTCCATGGTGGAAAACATTTGGTGTGCTGGAGAAGAGTGTGTATGTGTGTGTGTGTGTGTGCGTGCGTGTGTGGCGTGTTAATATTTCTAATGGACCTGCATTGCTGCACACTCTGGTCGACACTTTGCCTTTCTTGAAATCTTGGAACATATTTCCCTCCAGTGGTTTCAAGAGGTCAAAACTCCAGCAACACTTGTAGAATATAGAACACAATTTGTTAAGACTTAAGACATTTCCCTGGAGTTTTGGCCTCTTCAGACTTTAACACCTTGAATGCAGGTGAAGTTGTGACAGACACCACGACTCTGCCCCTCTTGTGGTTTCATAAGGTGTTTGTTGGAGCAAGCTACAGCTGCAGAGCTGCAAACAAGAGGTGTATTAAGGCCAGAATGAACAACAGTTGTGATCTGAATGTGAGAACCTGCCAGAAAATGGAGGAAAAGTGGGTCGGGAAATTAATATAATTAGTCATAGGAGGTGGGATCACATGTGGGCTCTGATGGAACAGGTGTGCATGGGAGGGGGAGGAGGAGCAGAAGGTACCTAGGATCCTGTCTGCATGTGACAACAGATGAACACAAAGTGTTTTTACCCATGAAAAGGTTGAGCATGACCTCCTGTCCTGCAGCGCTGTCGCTCTTGTACAGGCAGTAGGCGGTGCCAGCCAGCCAGGGGATGCCATGTCCGGATATCTCTATCAGCTTCATCAACGGCCGCACGCTGCCCCAGGACGAGTCCTCGCAGGCGCACACCCCGATCCGCTTGGACATCCACAGGTCGATGGCGAGAAGCGAGCTGAGCGCCACACGGACGAAGGAAGGGTTGAGCCGTAAACCGTCCACTTCTGGCGGCGGCGGACCCTGACCGCTCGCTGAGCCCGTGGAGGAGCTGGAGCCCCGGCGCCGAGTGGGGCTCTCCGAGACACGGAGGCGGGCGGTGGTCGGGTCGGAGCCCTGCCGCTGGAGGAGGAGCGGCGGCGGCACTGAGGACCGGTTCAGCGGCTTCGTTAGCGACATGAACTCGTAGCGGCCGTTGGAGCTGCTGCCAAGCACTGGGCTTCCACTTCCGCGACCGGGGTTTTTAGCTTTAGGAGACGGCATTTTATTAGTATATACACCGGTGAATGTAGTGAGGTGTGATGTCGCTGACCCGCAGTGGTAAATTCTCTATTGTCTGCAGTGCTGTGCGGGTTGTCGCTCCTTTAATTCATCTGTTGGACGTTTCACAATTCTTATCACGTCCGGAAACACTGAACAGAATCGTCATCTTTGTTGTTCTAATCGCAAAGCTACCTGGGTAATTGTGTTTTTTGTATGTGACCGGTTTCTTCTGACTATTCTATTGTTATAACATTTCCCTTTATACATCCATGATAACAGTAATATACTGCTCACGTTTTTTGTATTTTATCTTTCTACTTTTTAAAGTGTCATTTTTGTTTTAATAAAGTTATTCAAAAAAAAGAAAAGCTCTCTCGCATCTGATTGGTCGATGATCTCGACGTAATGTAAATAAACCCCGCCGATATCCGGGTCCATTCATGAGGCGCTGATCACACTCCAGGAAGCCAGACAGACCCTTTCTTCTTGTTTCTGAGTTGCGGAGAAGAGCCGACCATGCCTGGACTTCTGCTGGGGGACGAGTTCCCTAACTTCGAGGCCGACACCACCATCGGCAGGATCAAGTTCCACGATTTCCTGGGCAGCTCGTGAGTGTGCACATCTGCAAACTCCCACGCGCATGCGTTCCCTATTATGTTTTTACTCTTGAGTTTTGAATTATGTTTGTTAACAGTGCAACATTTGATTGTGCAGGTTGTGTGCGCATGCGCCTGTCTTCAGACTGAGAAGCTTGAACGCTGATCTGAGTATTAAGGATTTAATTCTGAGTTCAAGTGATGACTCTTTTTTTCAGTCCAGATCACTTGACCGTGATCCCACTGTGTGACTGCCGTGATGCGACACCTGCTGGCTGACACAGAGACTGTTACACAAGCATGACTTTCTGTATTTTTCTCTGGCCCAGCTCATTAGTGAGTTGTTGGCCCAGTCAGGACAAGGCCTGCATTGTGTGTTTTATGTGAACTTGGAACTGTGCCTCGGTGCTCACATCCAATCCTGTGAGACTTTTGTATTCTATACTATTTGTATTCTTATCCTGAGGGTTGTGCACACGGTGGAGGAGCAGAGACGGTGTTGCAACTGTGTAACTTGACCAACTTTCCAAACTGCTGGATCTATACACTCCCAGTTAACTGCCAAATAACAGTTTCAAGTTTCAAGTTGCATCTTAGAATGGATCATATATTTTGTTTTAATAAAAATGTATAGCTCATGTTTTTTTTTTTTTTTTTTTAAATCATTCTTCCTGTTTAATGATTAGAAACAAAAAACACCGTCTTCTGAACACATCCCTCTTACAAACTGTCAGTATCCAGTTTCTCCCTGCTTTGACTGATGGGGAGTGTCCCAATCTAACCAGAGCATCTGGTCACCCGATACTCAGCTGATCACAATGCATGTGAGGAACAAAGCTTTCCAGTTTCCTCTCTCCCATGTGATGGCATGTTCCAACACATTCAAAAAATAAATCGACATGCATCATGCGAAGCAGGAGACTCGTGTGATTAATGGGAGAATTCTCCTTTAAAAAAATTGGAAGTGTTTTGGCAGAAAAACTTCCCCAACCGTCTGACCCTTCACCCCTCATTGGACATTTTTCAGTGAGTGCACAGCTGGGTTTTGAGCTTCAGTCTGCCAGATTCACAGACACCTGTTTCAATCTGCGGCTGGAATTTCCTCTACTGAGACTTAATGTTCTGTCTTTTCCCTCTTTTTTTTTATAGCCATGTCTTCTGTTTCTGTCTTCCTTATGGGAAACATGAAGACGTACATGCACAACTACAACAGACACAAATACAGCGCAAAGGTGTATGTTATGTAATGTGTGTTTTACCTCTGTTTCACCTTTAGTTTACTGCATTCAGTGTGGTAACTTGAACTTGTGCATACACTCTGAGCTTAATGCAAGTTCTGTCTTCAACAGGAACATGTGAGCGTTTGATGACTGTGACCTTATTTGCTGTTTTCCTCCAAATACAGTTTTTCACATTGAGGTTTCTGAGCCAGAAGACGATGTGTAGAGCAAAGGCCTCAGTGCTTGTGTGTGTGTTTGTGTGTGTTTGTTTTCCTCTGTAGATGGGGCATCCTGTTCTCCCACCCAAAGGACTTCACTCCCGTCTGCACCACCGAGCTTGCCCGTGCCTCAAATGTCAGCGACGAGTTCAAGAAACGAGGCGTGAAGATGATCGCCTTGTCCGTAGACAGTGTGGAGGATCACCGCAACTGGAGCAAGGTTGGGGATGCACGCACACACACACACCTCTATCTATACCTTTTTTAATTGTGATATACATTGCATACTTTTTTTTTTTTTTTAATAAGTAATTCACTATGCATTGTAGCTCTAAAAGTTAGCCTGGAGGCCATGTGCTGCATGTCATGAACCTTTTACATTATGTTTTTTATTTAACAGTAACACGATCCTGCTTCCCTGCTAAAAAATGCAGAAAACTACTTTTTGAAAGTAGCATTTTCTCCTTTTGCCCTCCAGATGATAATTATTAACATTTACAGTGTTTGCTCTACAATCATAGTGTCTGAGCTCTTATTGGAGTTGAAGATTAAATGTCTCTGGTCACTCATCAAACCTGTGCCGCTGTGAAGGAGACGGCTGTCAGGACGGAGAGAATGATTAACTGAGGATGATGATGATGTACGTGCGTTAACAAAGGTGTAAAGTCTGAATGTGTCTCCTCCTCCTACAGGATGTGATGGCGTTCAACAATGAGGCTGATAGCCCTCTGCCGTTCCCCATCATCGCTGACGACAAGAGACATCTGTCTGTCCAGCTCGGCATGCTGGACCCCGATGAGAGAGACAAGGATGGGATGCCCCTCACCGCTCGCTGTGTAAGAGACCTGTCCTCTGTCCTGTCCTCAATGCCGGACATACTTTGTATTGCGTCACTAAAAAACATTGCCAAGACCGCATCATGATCCAAAATGTACAGATGCCGGTGAAATTAGTCTTTTACTGGCAAAAAAAATCCGCGAAGCACCAATTTTTTAAAATTTTTTTAGGTTTTGGTCTTTATTCTCAAATTTAGCTGCAGCTGATTACCACATCCTTTTGTCTGGGAGCCAGTCAAGTTGGAGCAAAATGATGAAGTGTTTGCACCTCAACAAAGCTGTTTCCCCAGTATTTTCCATTTGTTTTGTGTGCCACTTTATCACCATATTTACAAAAACAGAAAAAAGAAGCATATTGTGGGTGCTATGTTGACCCTGTGACATCTTAACCCTCTTCAGGTCTTTGTGATCGGCCCAGACAAGAAGATGAAGCTGTCCATCCTCTACCCCGCCACCACAGGGAGGAACTTTGACGAGCTGCTCCGAGTTATCGACTCTCTGCAGCTCACTGCACAGAAGAAGGTGGCCACACCCGTCGACTGGAAGGTAAACGGTTAAACCGCGTGTTTATTCACCTGTAGCCGTGAACTGTGCTCAACTAAGCTCCTTCCTCCGGCTTCATATTCAGCGTACAGATATAAGAGGGGATGCCTACCGTCTAACTCTTGGCTAGAAAGCAAATGATCACACTTCGCAAAATGTACACTGCATGCATAAGTTGTATTTTTGAGGATTCATTTTATTATTCAACAACTACAGAGCTCTCGGTCAATCCAAAATGTTAATAAACCTCAAACCTGAATATTTAAGAATGTAAAAGTGAGGTTTTGGCTTTCTTAGGAGAATATCTATGTGTGCACAATTATTATGCAACTAAATGAAAAACGAATATTAAACAAACAACTCAAAATCTACAGATAAACATTTCTGACATTTAAAAAAAAAAAAAAAAAAAAATAAAAACAAATCGGTGACCAATATAGCCCCCCTTCTTTTCAATAACCATAATAAGCCTTCCATTCATGGATTCTGTCACTTTCTTGATCTGTTGATGATGAACTTTCTGTGCAGCAGCAACCACAGTCTTGTAGACACGTAAAAGTTCATTCTGGTATTTTGCGTGTGGAAGCGACCACGATTTTTGAAAGTGCATTTGGGCAACTCACTCCACTAAAAGTGCTTGTTTTTGCTCTTGTTTTCAGATTAAATGTCTGACAACATTATGGAAAAACCCTCCTTTTCACTTCATCCTGTCTGTTTGTTATTGCATTCAACAAAGTGTCACTCTCAGAAGTATCGTTCTGATATTTTGTTCTGAAACTTTGCGTCTCATCCACACTGTTGAAATCATTTAAATATTCAGCCATGACATTAAAAATCTTGTATTTAACACTTAGCTACGCTTTCTGTAGTCCAACACAACAAACTCTGACAACACAAAGCACTCCTCTCTCATGTTCCCACCGTTGCCTTCCAGCAACAAATCACAAGACACAATAACAAACAGACCGGAACAAGTAAAAGGTACAGAAAAACATTTTATTTCTCTGTAGGATTCTTATTTATAACAACAATCTGAGCCACTTTTAGTGGACCTATAATAACGGAGAGGAGTTGCCCCGAGCGATTATATTGCAGACCTTTTAGCAGCTGCTGTCTGCAAAATGTCTCCTTCAATACTGGACCAATTTAAAAAAAAAAAAAAATAAAAATAATAAATAAAATAAATTGGTCACTTAGACACAAACGCATGGGGAAAATGGTACAGGTTGAAAAGTACCAAAGCTGACGACATCAGTGATGATCAGCATCCAGTAAATCCATTGAGCAGACACTGTTGTGTAGAGTTAAAATAAGTGCATTCCACCTCCATGAGAGCAACCGCTACATATTATTAAAAACTGCAAGTGCATCCCTTCCAAACAGACCATTTAGGTGTTCATGTGACTTCACTTTTAGTGAAAACACTGAAGAAAAAGCCACGTGACACAGGAGCCATATGATGCTGCTGCATAATTGTCGTCACAGTGACGCTGTGATTCAAAAACTGGAGTCCTGCTCCTATAACACGCCTCCTTGATGTCTCTTTCAGCCTGGTCAGAAAGTCATGGTCATCCCGTCGCTCTCTGATGCTGAAGCCGCTGCTCTCTTCCCCAACGGTGTGACCACCAAAGAGGTGCCTTCTGGGAAGAAATACTTGCGCTACACCCAGCCCTGACGAGACACTACAGCTTTCTCTAGTTAACAGCTCTTTTTGGGGAAAAATGGAAATCCTTGAAATACTAATTCTCATATAGAACTGATCAAAAGCATTGGATGCACTTATCCGGTTTGGTGACTAGTGGGATGCAATGAGCCAGGAGTGTAGTGTAGAGTATAGTGTCCTTTTACGCTGCCTTGTTTCCTTCAATAAACACACTTTTCACACATGTCCTCTGAATCTTTTCACTCTGAACAGCTTACTGTACCACTAGGTGTCCTCCTACAACCTAAACTACAAATATCAGCTTGCTGCTGTCGCTGCAGTACCGTCTTCCATCAATAGGTGGCGGTATGTGCTCAATGATCGACCCACTCATGGTCTCGCCTGAAAGCAATTAGGGTGAAAGCACCAATCCATCCTAAACAGTCGCAGACGTGGGGAGTGGTACCACATGTAGTGAAATGACTAGTTTATTTACATTTCCATTCATTATAAAAAGAGGATCGACCACATCGAGTTGATCTACTTCCAGCAATGTTTCTCCAAGTGCCCAGTGAGGTTTACAAAAACGTTCTGCTCTGTTTTTTAATCTTTTTGCCGACTCAGCATTCCAGGCTCATGCCCTAGCTGTCTAAATGTCTCAATGCACAATGGATTAGTCTTTTAAATTGATTGTTCCGTTTGTTCTATGCTTCATGTCAAAGGCTTTTTAATCGCAGATGAAATGTAGCAGCTGCACCGTGGAAGAGGACGGTGGAAAATAACCATTAACTACATTGACTCAAGTAAAACTCAGGGGAATTATTGTGCTTTTTACACTTTGACTTCAGTCGCTGATTTGGTGGCATCTAGCCGCCAAATCAGCACATTGAAACAAGTAAAAGACCTGAATACTTGTTTCACTACTAAAAAGTAGTTCTTGAAGTTATTTTATTAGCTTGATCGAATAACCTTAACTGCACAAACAGAGATGTCAAGCATGCATTTCTGAGAATCATTATCTTTATTTCATTTCAACTCAGCAGAATCTATATAAAACCCAATCACTGACCTGTGTTGCTCTGCAAGCACTGGAATTAACTACTTATTTTTGCCTGTTGGCGTACTTGTTTTGCTGGGGAGTGAACTGCTCATATAATGTATTTTCACATCCACGCTTCCTCTTTGTGTGCGTTGCTGCAATGGTTCATGGTGTTTTTTTTTTTTCCATCTCTCTTTACACCTGAGCTCCCATGCTGCACCAAAACGATAACCAACACTGTACAAAGTATCTTATATCTCTTGCAACTCTAAAGTTTCACGTCACATCTCCGCGTTGCAGACAAAGATGAAAGACTGAACCGATTCTTCAGCCGCGGTAAACACATCTCTGCAGGTCGGCCTGGATGAGACACTGAAGCCAGCGCCGAGGTGTAGGTTTCCCTCTTTGAGTTACTCAACCCTCACAACGACGTGGCCGAGGATCGTATTAATTACTTCTAGTAGTTTGAAGGTGAACACCGATCTCTCTCTCTCTCACACACACAAACACCTTGCAATGACTCCGAGGAATGCAGAGGTCAAAGAGAAAAGATGGGATTCCCTTTGAGTGAGGAGGGAGGCTGAGAGTGTGCAGAGCCAGATATAATATCTCCAGGCCCTCCTCCTTCTCACTCCTGTCATCCACACAATGTGAACTGGAATGTTATTCTTTTTTCTCTCTTTTAATCAGATGCTCACTTCGCCCCATAAAGGTTAAAAGTGCTATATGGTATGCATTGTTTCTTTCTTTCTCTTCGTTAGATTGCAGAGCTTGGACAGAAAGGGCCTACATTCTTCACTTAAACGCTGGATGCTTCTCTCATGTGTGATGAAAGTAAAAGTATTCACCAGGTAACCCTTGCCCTCCTCTCCTTCTCTGGTGGCTGTTTTGTCCCCAGGAGTCGTCCAAAATAACACCCGCACGGACGCTCTGTACCGATCAAATGCATTTCTCAAATTCCAGACTACAATAGCCCGTGCCAGAGCATGAGAAGCGCTTTGGGTGTCAGATGCTGGCTTCACTGCCAGCCCCCCTCCAATCCCCCTCCTGTTCATCTGCCACCCCTCACTTCTCGGCTATCGAGCCAACTCACCCCACCTCGCCTCTGCAACACTAGTACATGTAATACAACACCAGCCTGGTCCAGGTCTCACAGGGCAAAACACAACACACCAGCTGCTGGTCTTTTTCTACTATTCTCTATAACACACACACACACATCCCACGCACACACACCCCACACAAACACACACACATCCCACACACACACACACACACAAACACACACACACACATTACACCGCTGATCAAAGACCCAAGCACCGCTCTAAAAGGAGTGGCCTCCCACTAAACTTGTCTTATCTCAGAGGAGAAGACGTGTTTTTTCCCCCTCAGATGCACCAGGCTCCAGTCTTCCTGAGAAGTGATAACCAGGAGCGACTCCGTACCAACAAAACAAACTGCTTGTAGCTTTGAGAGTAACATTAATCTTACTGTGAATATTCAGAGACTAGTGTGACAATTTTGGGGAATTCGCCTTCTTGATTGAGTTGCTTGAGAAGATCGACACCGCTCTCACGTTCGTGCGCCAACTGTGAAGCTAGCAGCCGGTTAGCTTAGCTTAGCATAAAGACTGGAAACCTGGGGAAACAGCCATCAACTGTGTGTAAGAAGTGGATGGTAGATGGGGAGAATGCTTAAGGCACTTCCACATTGGCTTCAGAAACGGTTGTCCCCTGGAAACAGCTAGCGTGGCTTCAAAAGTGTTGCAGACATTTGACGTAGAGAGGGAGCAGCATGACATAAAAAGACGTCATGAACGCACACACACTCAGTTTGCATGTTTCTGTGTTGTGTGTGTTTATTCATGAGCATGTGCTTGCTATGGAAGAGGTCATTATTCCCATGCTGTGTGCCAGGCATTGAAGCTGCCCGTGACCTGCGGGTTAACAAGCCAGAGACCAGAGGAGCTGCAAAACACACACACACACACACACACTCGCACATATGCCGAACTACGGCTTGATGCTTTCCAGACGCGCCCGCTCTTTCTCCCCCTCCTACATCGCCTGGCACTCTCACCCTCCCCACATCTCACACACACACACACACACACACACACACACACTAGCACCTCCCCCGTCTCACTCAAACCCATTTATCAGAAGTTTTTGCTTCTTCAGCTCTCCTTTCCCATGCACTTCTTCTCTTTGTTTCCTCCCTCGCTCATGTTGCGGTTTAATCATCATTCAATCTGAAACTCACGTAAAAAACCCGTTGGCCTTTCTCTGTGCACCCACTCCTCCCGAGTGGAGAGGCAGCGAGACAGATGAACAGATTGAAGGTCAGACAGACGTACAGAAACACGCGCGCTGACCTCAGGATTTGGCTGAACTTTAAGGAGCATTAATCGCCTCGCATTCGACACCCAGCCCTTGAGCTTTCCTCACTCCTGCTAAAGCATGGGTCATCGAGCCTTTCAGCAGGTCCGCCACCTGCGCACACACACAGAGACGAAGACACGATGATAAAAGTGATGAAAGCTTATGATCCGAGTGCCGAGATAAATGCCATTGTTTTGATGGCACCTCGTAAATACAACATGCAGGCAGGCTATTACTGCAGAGCAGGTTAGGGCCAGTTAGCGCTCCACGAAGAGGGTGATGGATGAGAAGGTAAAAGTGCAATCACTCTCTGTGCTTATCTTTATCTCTCTCTATCAATATCGCTGTCTTTCTCTTGCTTTTTGCTCCCCCCGTTCTCTCTATTAGAGACACATTGATCACTAGCCGCTGGCATATCACCTGAGTAATGGCTAAGGGTGTCTGGGCTTTAAAACAACCCCGGTAGAGCGCCAAGAGCTTTATCATGGCGACAAGGCAAATGGCTGCTCACATAAAGTGTGTGTGTGCGCGATCATAACACATTGGGACTTTGCCATTAACAAGAGACATCAAACACAACCCAATAAGGATCCCAGACCACCAGACCTGCCACAAAGCAAAGCACTATGCTACACCACTTTAAGTCATTAATAATGTTTTCAGCATGTGTGCTGTGCACTTGAGATTCCTAAAGCCACACACTCAGAATGCTCAAGGTATATTTAAACTTTAACCCTTTAACTTACTTACTTTCTTGCTAAGAATTAAATAAGATACCACTTTGACTGTCTGCCATACTAGCTAAGGAGATAGCAGATTATTAGCTGCAGCTACAGCTAGCAGACATTAGCTTAGCATAAGTCTTTATGCTAAGCTAAGCTGTTGGCCTTACATCGACCATTCACACGAGTTGCATTAATCTTCTTCTCGAATTCTCAGAATTTTAAACAAGAGTGTCTAATAACTATTTGTTGGAAAATTACCTTATTTCACGCTGACAGTATGACATATGTTGTGGATCAGTTTATTCCAGCTATTTATTGAAGCAACACGATGTTCACACTGAGTGAAGTGCTTGAACTATTCAATTAAACTGAAATATTCTAGTTGTCAAAATTCTGTTCTGTATTTCACATCCGTTACTTTATGTCTGAGGCAACACGAGGAGTAATAAATATGTTTCACTGACCTTTGCAAAGAAAACGGGACAAGAAAAGCAAGAAAAGTGTAACAAATGAGTGGCATTGTTATGAACATTGTTATGAAGATGATGAACAGAAAAACCAACTGATATTACAGAAACAAGCAAAAGAACCTACACCAACTAGAAAATAAAAACTCAATTATTATAAAATACATGAAAGAAAGCTAGGCTAACCAAGACAAAGACTAATGGATTAACAGAGCTGTGTCAAGGTGCTATGAAGGAAAACACTACAAACTCAACAACGGCAGCAACAGAAAGTGAACATGATACAGCAAGTAGGAAAAGAGATTTAAAGAATAACTGCACACTTCATAAATCATGGTTCAAAATACCATCTACTGTTTTAAATCTGCCGTAATCTTGCAAGACCAATTCCGAGATAGAGCCGACCATTTGTGACTAATAACGTCGTGAAATAAAATAATTTTAACACCCTCTAATCAGACCTCCCTCCTCTCCTCTCTCCTCAGCGTCGATTGGTTTTACGTTTCCAGTAGCCACAGAGTAGCATTACAGTACAATCACAGCACAAGCCTGTTCTCTCCTTTCTGTCTACTGGAATTTAAGTTAACTTAGACTTCTATACAATCTGACTTCATTTTGTAAGCAGAGGA